ATATAATAAAATATTATTCAATTAAATTTATGATATGAATTAATCAATAAAATAAGAACTAAATATTCATATCATAATAATATAATTAGTATGAATTATAATTAATATAAAATAAAATAATATAAAAATAGAATGAAATAGTATAAGTAAAATGTGAATAATATGAAATAAATATGAATATAATTTATATAAATTATATAAAAATTAATTATCTAATCAAAATAAACTATGAGAAGTTATATAATATATTAAAATTCATATCACAATAATATTTAAAGATTGCAAAATTTGTTTTTCAAATAAAGTAAAATATAAGATTTTAACTTCTTTTGTAATTATTTTTATTTTCAAAAAATTTATAACAATTTGTTTTCAAGTTTTGCTACAAAATATATTAAATACACAATATCTTGTTAGATTCTGGGAATACTTTGAATGAAGCATTTCTTAATATTTAATCTTTATTAAATATAAAGATATCTAATAGATAATTATAGATATCATAGATTTTGGAATAAAGTATTTATAAAAATTATATATATAATATCTTAGTTTCATTTTTCATTCAGATCATTGCAATTTAATAAGATATCAATGTCTCTTTCTTATTATTAATATTATTAATATCAATAATATTAACAAAAGAATATTTATAAATATTAATTTTATATATAATATCTATAATAAAAACTTCAAGATATCTGATAATGCACTTAATTATTTTAATATGAGAAAAAAATGTATTAAGTAACTTTCAAAGATATAATTATATAGTTACACTTTTCAAAAAATCTTAGAAATCTCTTAGCAAAATTAATATTGGAATTATTATTTTAAAGCAAATCTAATACAAGTATATTTATTTATAATATTCTTTGAATAAATAATTTCACTATTAATAAGCTTGTTGACAGTTATTGTAATAATACAAATAAATATATTGCTATTATATAGTTGTTGTATAAGATTTTTCTGACTCAAACTTATAGTATAATGCTGAAAAAAAATTGTAATTTCATTTAATTCAAGCATGAAGTAATTATGCTCAAATATAATCTTTATAACAATTTATATCATCTCAGTATTTAAGACATCTGTAATTAAGCAGCATTTTATTATAGTGACTTTAAGATACACAGGATAGCTCTTGTATTTGGTATTTTTCTTTCTTTTTCAGATTTCTTTAACTATATTTTAGTTATTGTATTATTTTTAGTTACTAATACAATATAAAACAATAAAAGATAATTTGCCTTTATATTCAGTAAGATTGCTATTTTTTTTAAGAAAGCAAATCTATTAGCTTTAACAGCCAATTTAGTGACATTCTAAAAATTCAAACTCATTATTTACTTTAGACATGATCATTGTTACTATAATTCAAAGATTTTTATACAAGTTGTATACATAAAGATATATTTAAAAAATCTAAATCATGTCTAGAAGAGGTTTGATACATGACATGATTTTGTGAATATTTATAACAAATAATGTGTAACCAAATGTTTTACTAATGAAGAGCAAATATATTCATTTATTATGAAAGGATCTCAAGTAATATATATAGATTATTATTGCTAAAATAAAGTTACATTAAGCAAAAGTTAAAAAATAATCTCTTGCTTCTTTTATATATATTATCTTGAACCATCACATAAAATTCACATTAAATAATATATCATCGATTTGATTGCATTACTACATATTGAATATATCATCGATTTGATTATTAAAAATATACTGTACACTATCATCGCGAATTTTATAAATATATTCAGCTACACTCTCGGCTTTAAACCCCCAGTGGTAGAATGCGCTATTATTTTCTTCTGGCTCTGGCTTGAAATTTTCAGAATTTTCCAGGCTCTCTGATCGAGAAAATGGTGCTTCTGACTCTGCTGGCGCATAATCGATATTTTCTTGAAAATTTTGGGTATCCATATGTATCTCCGAACTGAAATATTTGGATCGATCACGTGCATCCATCTGATCCATCCGACCCATTTGTGCGTGCAATGTCACGTGTCTGTAGATTCTCCCTTAAGCTTAATATCATAATAGCCAACGTGCCTTGAAAGAAAAATATTTGATGTCAAAATTTTCACTAATTAAAAAAAATCGTGTAGATCTCTCAATTTTCCCAATAAAATGAGTATAGAAACTATAGGCTTTGAATTGATGCTGAGGGGATGCTAGATTTTTTTGCGTAAAATTTTTCGTGATGCATAACTTTGGCAGCCACTGTGTATTACGGCTCCATATCGTCAAAGCATTTACGAAATAATTTAATTTGTTTGACGTAGTGTAGAATCAAGTTGCCTGGCAAAACTTATTTTAGTTGATGTCGAAACTCCATATTTTGACGGATTCATTAATAAGTTTTTAACACAGTTCGACTTTTGACGAGTTTTTAACTTTGATAGATTCGGTTTTAGTATAGTTTCGACAATGACCTGTCAAAGCTGTAAGAGTTTTGACAGGCAACTTTATATTGATTCATTTTTGCCTGGCAAAAATACAAATGTATTATAAAATAAATTAAATGATTTAAATCAGTATTGCAATTTCAACACGGAAGTAAAATTTTTCCGCATATAATATTTCTAGACTTACAAGCGACTTTATAAATATCACGAATAGACCAACGATTCAGGAACATTCAATTGAACACTCTATATGAAGTGTCCAAGGAACAAGGACCAACTGTGAAAGACAATATTCTGGAAAAATAAATTTTTCACGGTAATTGGTGCTTTACTTGTATTGTTGGAAAAAAAATGCAAATTTTATATGGTGCAGATTAACATTAACTAAAATAAGACTTTTTTATTTATTTTCTCACGTTATTATTCACGTTCATGACAATTATTCATATCAATATCAATACGGAAACTTCTATTTTTACTTGATAAAATTTCTTTTCTTCATCATTTTGTTGGTCCTCAGCACTAATATTACTAATATTGAGAATGAAAGAATGCCCGAGGTGTAGTATATTTGTGTAACCAATCAAACACTCAAAATGGTTATATATATGGGTCAATTGTTATTTCACCGTTCATAGTTTAAAAATGCCCCCAACACAAAATCTACAAAGCGCGGAAATAGATGATGTCACAATAGAGTATGGCAACACGGTGAAATACCTTCGTGCACATTTACCCTCATATTTAGCCGCACCGAAATTAGCTATTATATGTGGTTCTGGTCTTGGGGGTCTAGTTAACACAATAGAACAAACAAAGTCATCTAAAATCGAGTTTTCGTACTCGGAAATTCCGGGGTTCGTGAAAAGCACAGGTATTAATATCTGTTAATTTTATAAGAATTCTCGGTGGTTTTCTCTTTGATTCAATTAATTTCTTCGAGCTTTTTATATCTATTAATCATTTATCACATTAACATCTAGTTGAAGGTCATGCTGGTAAGCTTGTGTTTGGCCTTCTTGGGGTAAATAAGATGCCTGTTGTATGTATGGTTGGAAGATTTCATATGTATGAAGGTCATACAAAGGAACAAGTAACATTACCGATAAAGATCTTTAAGCTCTTGGGTATAGAAGTCTTAATTGGTGAGTATGAATAAAAAATAGTTAATATTTTTATTTATTGTTAACAGATTGAATTTCTTGATTTTGAATACAAAAGTCACCAACGCAGCAGGATCTCTCAACAGCGAATTCAAAGTAGGCAATGTTGTGATTATATGGGACCACATCTCAATCCCCGGCATTTCAGGCAACAATCCACTAGCCGGACCAAATCAATCACAACTCGGACCGCGCTTCCCACCAATGTCTGACGCGTACGATTTCGAACTACGACGAACAGCATTTCGTGCTGCCGCCTCATTAAAACTTGAAAAAGGAACAGTAAAAGAAGGTACCTACTGTTGGGTGATGGGTCCTTCATACGAAACACGAGCTGAAGCGAAATTTCTGAATCTTATTGGTGGTGATGTGGTGGGTATGTCCACGGTGCCAGAAGTAGTTGTGGCCAGATATTGTGGTATCAGAGTGCTGGGGCTGTCACTCGTGACTAATATGGTGTTGACAAAAAAACCTCGAAGTGCCGATCCTGAAAAGAATGAACCTGAAACTATCGAAGTACATCCTTCACATCAAGAAGTGTTAGAGGCGAGTCACGCAAGCGCTTCAATGATGCAAAGTTTAGTTAAAACTATTGTTGAAATGATATATCGTTGAAGATTTGATTATGATGATTATTATGAGAAGTCCTCGGGAAGATTAATTTTACCGAAAAACTTTAATAATGCACATGTTCCAAGTATTTATTTATCTAAATAACAATACGAGAATGAAAAATTCATAAAGTTTGAAAATAAAAAGATGAATGAATTCCATTTCTATTTAGACAATGAACAAATCCAAGGAATAGATGTCATTTTAAAATTATAATGGTAATGGTACTAAGACACTAGGCATTTTTCCATTCTTTGTTCCACTCGACGTGAAACCCAATACATCCTCCAACGCAAGCTGTTCTTTATCACTATCATCATTCTGAATGCTTGGCACCGGCAATCGTTTAAACCCCTCCATATTCTCTTTTGCCAAAATTTCCTCGACAAAAGTGCTTGTTTTTTTACACACGTTCTCATGATCATCATAAATTTTTTGCCACTCTTGTTTCAACGCTTCCCACTTTTCCTCGTCGTCCGACTCTTTATCCTTGCTCTGAACCGCATCACACTCTTGCTCCCACAGTCCTTCCTGAACTGCAATCTCCCGTTTGGTTTCCGTCTCGAATTCTTCAATTTCCGGAATTTGTTTGGTGCGTAAAAGTGTGCGAAGTGTGAGATCTTGTTCGTCCTGGAGGAATTCCATGGGGTGAAGCATTAATTTTTG